ACCTGCACGTGTTCCAAAAAAAATCCAAATTAGGCCCAGAGCCCCTTTCGGACCAAATCGCAACTCCGGCACGGCGGCTCCGCCGTGCTCCGGCGACGGCGCCGCCGCTGGCGGCGGCGAGTCGCCTCGGGTTGGCTGTTTTCGGCCGAATTCGGCCACACTCGCATTGGTCCTTGTCAGAAAACAACCCTAGGGCCCCCGGGGGGGCCAAAAATCACGGAAAAACGGAGCTTACCGGCGGCGGCGCTCTCGGGTACGGCGGCTCTCCGGCGAGGTTCGTGTTTTGGTGATTCGGCTTCGGTCAACCTGTAGAGAAAAGAATGGTGATCACGGTGATATAAAAATTGCATCGAACGGAGGCTGGGAAGGACCTCGTCGGAGGCAAAAACCGAGAGGGGCGCGGCGGCGCCGCTGGGTTTCGGCCGCGTATTCCGGCCGTTTGGCCGGGATTTCGGCCTCAATTTGGCCATAGGAGGAATCAGCGGAGAAAAACGAGTCGGGGGTATGAAATTTACCTCGATCGGCGGTCGGAAATTTCCCCGGTGCGGCGGCGGGTGGCGGCAGTCGGCCTCTGGTTCGTCTTCTCCGGCGAGCGGCGGGCGGCTAGGGTTTGTGGTCTGGTGTGGAGGTTCTATTTATAACCCCTTGCCTCTTTGATCACAGCCGTTCATTTCGTTTTAATCTGGGCCGTTCGTTTTTGATTGAATCTGGGCCGTCCGTGCGTTTGAATCTGGGCCGTCCGATCGCACCCACGCGGATCGCCAACGTGGCTCCTTTCGGAGTGACGCGATCTTGCCACGTGGCAGGCCCTGGTTGGCCGGGACTGCTGACCGGGCCTGCTGACGTGGCTGCTGACGTGGCCCCCCTTTCTTTTTTTTTTTTTTTTTTTTTTTTTTTTTTTTTTTTCCTCCTCCTTTCCGGGTGCTACAAATGGTGGGCCAATTAAAAGAAAGGAAAGAATATAAGAATTAAATATGAGTGGTCATACGAATTAAAATAAATTAAAATAGAGATAAATTAGAGAATTGAGGAATTGACCAAATGCGCTAAGGTTTATGGGCCTCTAGTCCACAAGGGGGAAAATTGGGTTAGATTTGAATTAGATTAAAAGAGAAATTTTATTTGGGCTCTTGGTCCAAAAGCTAACAAACATGTCACATACCCATATGGTAAATGAGTAGTAACAAGCTTGGTGCACAATAATAATAATAATAATGGGCTATAGGTCCAGAAAAATTAATTGAGTAAAGTTTTAATAGACCTTTAAACAGGTAAATGTAATTATGACCATAGGATTTGCAATAAATAATCTTGAAAATAAAAATGACAGTAATGCATAAAATACTTACATGGTAGTAAGAGGAGTACACATATTCGAGATTAATAGGAAATTTTACTATAAGAAATTATAAAAATAGTGCGATGAATGTGAATTAGAGGAATAATTGTAAACACTTTATGGATTGAATATTTTTTAGACTAAATGTGAGAATATAAATCCTTGGGTTATTTTCGAAATTAAAATAAATTTGGGAGTTGATGAGCTTGATGATTTATAAACTAATAAATTAGGCTTTTGGAAATAAAGAAATAGGACTTGCACAAAAATTAAATGGAGATGATTAGATAGGAAGATCAAAATATAATTTAAAAATAAATTGTATTAGGAAATACACAAGGTAGGTAGTAAAAATTCCTTATTAGGGAGATATGAGTAAATATGCGGTCCAGGAATGGTAAGAAATGATTATAAATCCTATCTCATGGATCATTTATTGTTTCGTAATTATGAAATTAACTATAAGTATAACTGTGACTGTAACTATTACTTGTGGAAGCCTAACTATGATTAAGTCCATATTGATTGTGTGAATTATCATTTCCTTCTGTGATTGTGACAGAA